ATCCTCGAAATCAGAATCGTACAGGTCCCGGTACGAATCGGAGTCGGAGACAGACCTGACGGGGACACAGAGACACCATTACTTTTAGTGGTGGCACGGCCATGGCGCGGATGGGAAGAGACTGTCGTACATACTTACTCAGACGCGGGTGCCGCCGCCGGCTTCGTCATCGCCTTGCTGACCTCCTTGACCCAGCCGCCCGGGGGGGTTGGCGGAGCGGCGCCCGACATTCCGCCGCCACCGGCGGCGGCGGCAACATCCTCCTCGGACTCCACTACAGCCGTCGCCACGTCACTGACCCGGCGTCGCCGCCACTGCTGTTGCTGCTGCAGGGCACTCGGCTCAGGGACCCCGCCTGCCAACAAAATTCCAGAGGCGACGACAGAGGCACACAGCACAGCACAGCACAGCACAGCACAGCACAGCACAACCGCATTGGTCTGCTAAGGTAACGTTCCCGTCTCCGTACCTTGAGTCGACATAGCTATGCCTCGTGCGTTTATGTCCCCGCGCCGGGAAACACAGGAACAGGCTCTCCAGCAGACGAGTTTCCACAAGCTAAAACGTCCTTCAGAGGGTCACATGAACTTGAGCTTTGCCTCCTTGGTGCCAACACAGGTTTAGGAAGAGGTATTCCGAAGTGTGCATACTCCTGATTAGGCAACCAGTTTTGCGTTGTCGTACACCATTTCCCCGTCACTTTCCCGCGCACCTGAGCCAAAGGCTGTGGAGACGGTGGATGTGGAGGAAGATCGCTCCGAAGCAAACTTGGCGGAGTACTCTTCCGAGGGCGTATCGATTGACCCATGGGTCGACAACTGCCGCTGCAGGTCCTTAGCCAGCGGCTGCTGCTTATTGCGGGGCGGCAGAACCTTGAAGGACTGCAGCTTGTCAAAGGTGCGAGGAGGACCTGCTCAGCAGCAAAAAAACGACAAATGAAGTACGTCAATACGGCTGTGGGTTCGTGTTCACCTCCCGACATCCCCCGCCTCCCTGCCGCTGCCCCGTCCCTCTCATCCCCACCCACCCCCTATCCCCTCCCTCTCCATGCCCCGGGCCCCCCAGGTCCGTGAACCCGGATGATGATGATGGTGATGGTGATGATGAGGAGGAGGAGGGGGAGGAGGGGGAAGAGGGGGATGACAGCACATACCGGCACTCTTGAGCGATGAGCGCCTGGATGAGGCCCGTGTCGTGGTACGGCGATCCGGGCTGTCCGACCCACTAAGACCTGCCGTACCCTTGCCCTCGCGCTCCGTGTCCCCTGACGCTCCCTGGGAGGACGTGGTGCCAGATGGTGACGCGACTGGTGGTGCTGGCGGCGGCACCCCTTGCTGCTGGCCGTACATCTGCTGGCCGTACATCTGCTGGCCGTACTGCTGCTGGCCGTATTGCTGCTGGCCGTATTGCTGTGCGTACTGCTGCGCGTAAAGCTGTGCGTACTGCTGTGCGTACGATGTGCCGGTCTGCGGAGTGAGCGGCGGCGCGGCGCCCGACCAATACGGCATGTACTGTTGCGTGGCAGCTAACCCGTATTGCTGTTGCTGCTGCTGCTGCTGCTGCTGTTGGTGTTGTTGGTGTTGTTGGGGTGTGTGCTGCTGCTGCGCCGTTTGCTGCTGCTGTTGTTGCTGTTGTTGTTGTGGTACTAGTATGGGCATTCCAGGCGGCATGTTCTGCGGTGCATGTCGCGACCACCATGGGGGGCAGCAAGAACGAGGACCGGGACCAGGAGGCAGTCACGACACAACTGAGCCCACCAGCCGCTTCACCCAACACGAGTACTACTCTGGCAGCAACCCATGCGAGCCATTTAGGTCCGTCAGGGTACTTAACGCGAAACCAGTCGCGGGTTTCACTGCTGGCAAACCCCCTCACCCCTCACCCCTCACCCGCCAACCCCTCACCCGCCAACCCCTCACCCGCCAGCCCCAAGCCCAACCCGCGGGCCCCAGCGTGCAAGAGGAGCCCCTCCTCCCCTCCTGGACCTCAATGGAGCCCCGGGGGATAAGGCAAGCCACTGGCGAGTGAAGCAGATAGATAGATAGGTAGATAGGTAGATCGTGTGTGTAGGGGTAAGAAACATTGCGTGGGACTACACAACACAGCCCAGCACCCTCCCCCCCCCCCACACACACAGCCGGCGGATACCCGCGTGCGTGTACGTGCGTTGCTATACCGACGTCCCCGCTCACCGACATCATTTGAGGGGTCATCATGTACGGCATCATGCCGCCGCCGGCACCTGCCGCCGTCGCCATGAAGGGCTGCACCTGCTGCATCGCCTGCGCCGCCGCTTGCGCCGCCAGCTGTGTCGCCATGCCGTTCATCTGCCCACCCATGGCGGATATGGCCGACGACAGCACCGTCCGCATTGTCACTAGGCTCATCACCTCCCACATCAGGACGGACGTCATCTGGTACACCTGGCCGCCGCTGCCGCCGCCGCCGACCGCGGCGGGTGCGGAGGCGGAGGCTACGCCGCCGCCGCCTCCGGCGGCGACCATGGCTGCCGCGGTGGCGGCTGCCGCCGCAGCGGCACGAGCCGCCGCTTCCGCAGCAAATTCCGATCCGCCGTCGCTGCTGGCGTCCCCTCGAGCCGCCGCTGCCGCGGCGGCGGCGGCCGCAGCGGACGCCGCTATGGCAGCAGTCGCGGACGTGCCGCCGGCGGCGGCGGCGTCAACGCCGCCCCGAGACCCTGGCCCACGTTTCCTAGGAGGTAACAGCAGCCGCCGTAGCGGATCGAACCTTCCAGGCCCCCCTCCGTCATCATCGCCGCTGCCGCTGTGGTGCGGCGGGCTCCCGACCCCTCCCGACCCCTCGGCCGTTAAGCTCGGGTCCGTCATTGTGCTGCCGCCGCCGCCGCCAGTGACAAGCGCCCCGTGAATACGTAGTGAGGCGTCCTCAATGGCAGTAGCCGCCGTTGCGGTGCCGTACTCTGCTGTACCCGTGAGCCGGGAAGGAGCTGCGGCGGCGCCACCGCCGCTGGGGGCGGCCGCCCGGCGAGATGGCAGTGGCGACGACGTCCCTTTTCGTTTTGGCGGGGAGGGCTTTCTTCCGGAATATGCCAGCTGCTGCTGATGCGGCTGGGCCCGGCGGAAGCCACCCTCGACTGCCTGCTTCTGCTTCTTGGTCTGCGACTGCTCCTGGTCACGCTTCTGCGGACTCGCCGTACGGCGCCGCTGTGGTGACCGTCCTGGAGACGTTCGGCGGGCGGCAACGGCCGCTGCCGGCGTGGCGGGAGACACCGTCCCCCCGAGCTGACGCTGCGGGCGGTACGGCGGTATCCGACCTTGAGAGACCCCCTGACGTATCGTCTCTCCGGGACGCCGGGGCGACGGGGAACGTCGCGCCGTACCTGCGGTCGACGTCAGGCCGCCTCCGCCACTGCCGCCGCGACTGCGATAGGCACCGGGCGTCATCGGAGCCTGCTGCGGCTGCTTCTCAGTTGGGACAGCCCATGCGGCCCGAGCCCGCCGTGGCGGCGCTGCCGCTGCCGCTGTCTTCGGCGCAAGCTTTTGCCCCAGTATCGCCCGCGACGTGCCAGGACGTACCGCCGCTGGTGCCGGTGCCGGAGGTGACGCCAACGGCGCCGTCGCAGGTCGCCTGACGGCCGGATCCTTGGAGCGGCCGTCAGCTCTGCCGCCGCCGCCGCCACCTCTCCTCTCCCGCGCCGACATCAACCTCCGGTACGTCTGGCGGTAAACTTGCTCCGCCAGCTCAAATGCCGCATCGTCCCGTACGGATGCAGTACCCCTCGCCTCACCCGGCTTGTAGGAGCCGCTGCCCAGGGCAGCCCCAGTGGCTGCGGCTGGCCTAGCGGAGGCAGTAGCGGAGGAGGGCATGAACAGCGCCTCAAGGACCGCCTGCCCGGGGCGCGCATCGACGTCGTTCTCATCCTCCTCCCATCGCCGCCGTCGCCGCCGCCCCGGCGGCAAGTGCGCCTGGTTGCCTACGGCCCCGCGCCGCCAGGCCCTCGCTCCCATATCCTCGTCCTCCTCGACCTCTTCGTCATCATCGTCTTCGCCATCGCCGTACAATTCCTCCTCCTGAACCCGTCGGCTGCCGTGCTGCTGCACCCTTACCGCCGCGCCGGGCTGTCGTACCTGACGCCATGCCGTCAGGTATGCTGGTTGCTGCTGCTGCCGCTGCTGCTGCACCGCCGGCCCCGCCAATGCGTCCGTTACCTGGCCGCCCGTGAAGGCGTCCCGATGACGTGCCACTTGCTCCTGTGCACGCTGCAGGAATGGTTGCGGCTGCTGGGACATCAGGGGATCGTTAGCGAAGAATAGCGCCGGCGGCTGCGGCGGCTGCAGGGCCGCTGCCGCTCGCTGCCGCCGGAGATCAGCCGCTGCCGCTGCCGCTGCCGCTGCAGCTACTGCTGCTGTGGCCGCCAAATGGCCCTCCGGCACCTGTGCGCTGCGATCAGCTTTGGCTGTCGCCGCGATGGTGGTCGCAGTGGGGTGCGTGCCGGATGCTAGGGCGGTGGCACCCGGGGGCGACGGCGGCGGCAACGTTGTGAGGGTGGACAAAGGTGGAACCCGGGAGCCATAATGTGTGAGACGGCAGCTCAAATGGAGCGCGCCTACTTCAACGCCAGTAGGACTGAAAAGTAAGACTTGTCGTACTGCGGCTGCGCTGTCCAGGGCAGTGGCCGGGTTGTTTTTGGCGGAGCTGTCGTCCCAGGCGTTGTGCGGTGCCTGGCTGATGAGCAGCGGCGTTTGGCCCGCCGCAAGCATCGTTGGCTTGGGCAGTGTTTTCACATGGAATAAGGATACGTATAACGGCGTCTGGGAAATGGGTAAGGCAGGCCCCGTGCGAGGCCGGGGCGCAAAACGGTTGGTCAGATGGCTTTAGCAAGTGATAAAAGCGAGAGCCTACGCATGGGAGACCACGGCAATCACACCTGCTCAACGAGAAATTGCATCTCTTCCGCGTCCGCCTGCAGCACGCATGACTTGCCGCTGTCGAACGAAATGAAGTCGTAGTAAGTTGGAAAAGTTTCGGAGAACGCAGATGTCTCCAGGGCTCCATGCTTGGCATAGACTAAGATAAGCGGGTAGTCAAGAAAGCTGAACGCAACTGCATAGGGAATAACTGGAAACTGGGTGCTCTCGGGTAGCCCCAAAGTCGCCTCCACAAACGATGGATCTGCAAACTCAAGCGCATGGACAAATATCTCAAAATTGAAATATTCAGTCATTTTATTCGCTGCATAATAGTGATTAGCTGCTGGGCTTGTGACACTCTTTTTATGGGTACGCAACACGAACACTGGTAAACTACCCACTTCCCTTTCAATTTGGAATAACTTCGTTGTAAATACGTTGTGAAGTCCTGCTTAGATATCAACAGAACGTCTGCTGCAGCTAGCTCAGGACGTTGCTCCCATAAGGCCCCAGCAACCCCCACCGTAGGTCGATGTCGGTGAATGTGCCGCTGTTGCCAAACCCGGGCTTTTCGCTCATACCTGCAATGGTGTGCCTTCAATATCAGTAATTTAACTTACATCGCCACGACGCTTTGATGAGTAAGGTTGAACCTTAGAGTTGCGTCATTTTAACTTTACGGGCCCCAGTTGGAACGTAGTTGTATTACCCGTTATCAACAGCAAACTTTCTTATCTTAGGGACCTCGCATCAAACAAAGCTTCCTCACGCTGTCCGGTGTGTTGCCGGCAGTGACAAACATGGGGACCAATCCTGGTGTCGATGTTCGGATAGGATGGGACGAAAGTGAGCAGAAGGAGTTTATGAAAGCCATTCGGCAGCCGCTCATGGTCCAGACCCCGCTCCAACTGGTGATTGAGAATCTCTTTCAACGGCTACAAGCGCAAGCAAGCTTTGTGAACCAAATGAAAGAGAAGGTAACACGACACTCCCTGATGTGCCTGCTGTTATGGCACCAGTCTCCCTCGCGGCCAGCTCTGCCAACCCCTTCCCCGGGGAGGCCACCTCCCATATCCAGGTGCCCCGCACTTCCACCATGCAATCCTGGCTACAATCATAACATGTAGCCAGGATTTGCACATGTGTCATCACACGCCAGGTCCCGTGCGGAAACCGTCCCAGCCGCGGAAATCCCACGCGCCCTACCGGGCCTCCCTTGACCAACGGCCTTCCCACTTCTAAAGCACACCTGGCAGAACGGGCGCGTGTAATTGCCACCATGCTGCTTCTCGGCTCCTTCCTTCTTGTCTCCTACCTGGACCCTACCTCCCAGCCAGCCCAGCTCCGATCATCAGCCATCCAGCACGGAACGAGCGACCGAGCCCTGAGCCAGGCGCCGCAACCTCTCTCATCTTTTTCTGGACCCATCCTTGTACCCATCAAAACTCCCCCTCCCACACTCTCTTCCGTCCATGCTGCGTTGCCGCCCTCCCCATGCTCAACACAACCTACACCCGCATACTCATACTGCTCAAGCTTCACATCCTCGACCGCCATCGCCCTGGCTCCCGCTGCACAGATGGACCGAATCGCTGTCAAGGACGTGTCCGCGGATGAGCTGTTGCACCGCATCAAGCTGTTGGAGGCGCAGCAGGGGGACGCGGCGGGTCCCAAACTCAATCCGTTCAACCAGCAGGAGATCCTAAACCGGCTGGAGGTACGGCACTGGCGTCGGTAGGGGCTGGGAGCCGCGCGCCCCATCGGGGCCGGGGGCATTGGCAGCTGAAGAGGGAGGCGGGTTAGGGCTAGGGTTTGGAATTCATCAGGGCCATCGGGGCCTGGATCACCGATTACTCTTCAATGCATACTGCTGGCCGTGGCGAAGGAACGAGGATCAGGACAAGCCGCACAAGGGAAAGGAACACAAGCTGTAGCAGTAGCAGCGGTACTGCCATGTATCCGGGAATTGCGTTGTCGCTCTTCTGCGTCCCTTTTGTTTCTGATGCAATGGTCCTGACACGCTGCCGCGCGCACCCCGGGGCCCCACGGTGCTACCTGAATGCAGGCGCTGGAGAAGAAGCTTGCGGACGGGGTTGGGGAGAAAGGCTCTGGCACTCAGCGAGATGTAAGTGTCTGGGGCGAATCTGTCTGTCGATCTGTCCAAGTGCTAGAAGGACATCTTGTTTTTTTGTCTAATCCATTTATTTCCCTGTACATTTGGTGGCCGTGGCAGAGGACTTGCATTCATGGAAAAGTGTGTTGTTTCTCCTGGATGCCGCGGCCTGGCTCGTCGCCACGCGGCCTGTTCCTGCCCTTGCTGCTCTCCACCTCACGCCTCACGTCTTGTCTTTCCCTTCACCCCTCAGCGCCAGCCCAGCCGCGACGACAGCGCGGACCTGGAGATCCGGTTGTCCCGCCTGGAGAAGCGTCTCACCGGGGTCTATAACATCAACGGCAAGCTGGTGGCGGTGGAGCAGATTGCCAGCGGCCTAGGGGTCGCAATTCCGGATCTGGAGTACCCCACAGGCGGCGGGCCGCAGCAGCAGCAGCAGCAGCCTCCGGCGGCGGCGGCGGGGCCAGCGGTGCAGCCGCTGCCGCAGGTACAGGCATGGCGGCCGCCAGCGGCTCCGGCGGGGCCGCAGCAGCACAGCACACAGCAGCTGGCCCCGATGGATTGGACGCGGCCGCGAGCGGCGGCGGACGCCACTGCTGCCGACGCCCCTGGCGACGACGCGGCGGCGCCCGTGGGCTCCAGGCTAACAGGTGTCCGCAGTGCTAGTCCTGGCATGGGCCTCGCGGAGTACATGCTTGGCGGCGCGCAGCCCCACTCGGCGCCACAGACTCGCGGCAGCTCACCCAGCCACAGCCCCCGCTTGGTCGGAACGCCCTCCAGCCCGCGCCTGCTTGGCTCGCCCTCCTCTGGCGGCGCGGCTGCGGCGCGCGGGGGGCTGGGCTCCGCCGGTGGCGCCGGGGGTGCCAGCGGCGGCCCGGTATCCGCACAGAAGCTCGTCCAGCTCGGCCAGGAGGTTACATCGCTGCGCACTGAGAACGACTCGCTTCGGAATACAGTGGATAGTTTGCTTCAGCAGGTTTCAGGGCTGCGGGCGGGCCTGGGATCAAACGCTGTGGAGTCACTTAGTCGGCTGCAGCAGGTTGAGGAGGGCGTGAGCGCGCTGCGTGCGCAGGTCGCGGACCTGGCGGCGGCGCGACGCGACGCGGCGGCCCGCAGTGGTTCCGAAGTTACCTTTGCAGATTTCAGTCTGCTGCGCAGCCAGGTAGAGGGTGCGGTGGCGGAAGCCAAGGCGCAGGCAGCGGCGGCAGCGACCCTGGCGGAGCGGGAGCTGCCGGCGCTGGCGGCACGTGTGGACGAGCTGGCGGAGGCGCTGAAGAAGAAGGGCGAGCCGCGTGACATTGATGCACTATTCCACGAACGGATTAACGGGCTGGAGACGGCGATGGGGGAGATGAAGACGGAGCTTTTGGGCTCGATTGAGTCGGCGCTGGAGGCGGCGGTAAAGGTGGACGACTTGCAGGCGTTGGAGGAGGTCCTGGAGGCCAAGGCGCCATTTGATGCAGTACGGCTGCTGCAGCAGCAGACGCACGCGCTGGGGCAGGCGGTGGCGGGTATCAGCGACGCGATTGCGCTGCGGCCAGACCTTGGCGAGGCGCTGCGCGCCGGCGCCGCTGGCGGCGGGCCAGCAGGCCCGCTAGCCACCAAGCTACGCTGCCTGACCTGCGACCAGCCGATTAAGAACCTGCCCGGGCTAGGCAGCCTCAGCGCCGGCGGCGCCGCCGCAGCGGCAACGGCGAAAGGCAGCTTCCTGCCCCGCCTGGAGTCTATGCCTGCCAAGGAAGGGCTGCCGGGTGGCCCCGGGTTGATGATCGCGGACCTCAGGTCCAGTAAGGAGGACCGCCTGGCGGGGCTGCAAGTGGGTTCAGGGGTACCGGGCCGTGGGCCTGGCGGCGGCGGTGGCGGCGGGGTGGTAGGGATCAAGCCGGGAGATTTGGAGGAGTACGTGAATGGGGTTGGGGGACTGGCAGGGTTGACGGGGTCTGGCACCGGGCAGCGGGATGGGAGTCCGGGGAGGGCAGTGGAGCGGTCGCGTGCGGCTCGGGTGCCGGTAGGGGCCCCAGGGCTGAGTAAGCCGGGGGCCCCGCCAGGGTCGACTAAGCCGGTGTTTCTTTGAGGTTGAGGTGGAAGGTGGTGACTGGGCGGGGTTGACGGGGGTTTTCTAGGTCGCCGTTTACCAAGTGGCGTTTGCGACTGGTGGTGGTGGTGGTGGTGCGGCTGGGCTGCGGGATCGGGGCTACGGGTAGGCGGGGGAAGAGGGGAAGAGACGAAGCAGCGAACGCAACGTACGAATGCCCGGATGCAGGGGGGCACCAGTCAGACGGGAGGCGCACACGCGCGCTCTGCTGTCAGCACGCCGCGTATTATAGACTGGGCGAGGACGGCCGTGTGCATGTCTGCATGCATGTGTATGCGTCAGGCGTGTGTTGTTGAACAGAACTGAGCTCTTGCTGTGTGTGTATGTGCGTGTATGCCCTACGGCTGCTGTGTGATATGTTTGCCGCCTGTGTGAGCTATGTGAGCCCGCGGGGCAGTGTCGCCATCGTCCATTGTGCGGGCCAACAGGTTGCATTCCGGTTCACCCAACTGTAAGGCCGGGGTACTCACGGTTGGGGGGGAACTTGGTGCGACAGATCCGGAGGAGGAGCTCACAGGGCAGGATGCGCACGACGGAAGCGGGCACCGCACCACACCGAGGCCCAGCCCAGGAAAGGTGCGCTTTACCACCTCTGGATGAGAGGCGAGGCGAGCCGAGGTCGCGCCATTCTTCCTCCCTTTTCAAATCAGGGTTGTCGATGGGCCTCTATAAAAGGCGCGCGGCCATGTGCATGCTTGCGTCATGGATGTTCCCGGGAGCCCGTGGACGGAAGGTGCAGTACATGTCGGGCATGTGATGCATTGTTGTCGATATTGTCAACTTGGCATATTGGTGATGAATTAGCCGTACAGTTTACAGCGCGCACCTCTGCAACACCGGCTGATCGCGGGAGGTGGCTGCGGAGCTGCGGTACCCGGGAGTGCACCAGGGGGGCCATCGAACACATGCGTTGGTGTCCTGTCCTGCTTTCATCATTTTGGACACTGTCAGCATTCTGATCCCACAAGCGGAGCTAGACGTGTTCATCTGGATCTGGGTCACCAACTCCACGCTTCATGGAGAGGGATAGAAAGAGGGCTAATGCGAGATGAGGTATTGACGTAACGGCTAGCAGAGGGTGTCCGCTGTTGGGGTCCCCGGACTCAGGCCCCAGCGAACCAGTTAGCAGTTTCGAGGCGAGGGGGACACGAAGGACTGCATTATGGGGAAGTGCTGCCGTGGGACATATCGACATAGTCACATTTCTTATTGATTTGCATGCAGGTGGGCGAGTAGGAGGACAGCTGACCAGGAAACGCGCCACAGAGTAGATAGGATGCAAGGTTGGGGCCGGAGAAGAAGCCAAGGGTGGGGCGGGGTTGCCGTCATCAAGGAGGTTCGAACGGGAGTGGGAACGGACTAATGGTGACAGGAAAGGGGGTGGCGGAGCTTCGTGGGCGAAGTGTGGTGTTGGCGATTAGCGTATGTAACGGGGGTAACCACGGTAAGGCCTTCAGTGCGCAATTGTGTAAATGTGGAATTTGGAAGTGGTGACGTGCAGGAATTTGGATTGGATATGCTTGGCCGCCGAGTAAGGCCTGCAGTGTTGTGCGGCTGGCGCCTGTCAGGGTGCCGCACAGGCAGCCGGTCGAACGCCACAGTAACTAGTACTGGCACTGATGGGGCGGTGCAGATATGGCGGCTAGCAAGGAAAGTCGCCGGAGTAGGCATGGACACGATCATGTAGCGTGTTTTTGCTGAAAAAGGAATTATAATGATCTGCCAAAAGTGTCCAGTCAGTTATGGGAGAAGGCAACAGGGCCGCCCGACGACAAGGCGTGCGGAAAGGGGCAGGCGGATCCGCGATAAGGAGAGATCGCATCACGTTTTACATGAAAACTTTCACAACATGCATTCCTCGTCACAGATTACAGTCGCACACAGATGCGATAAGGACAGTCCCTATGGCACACATTTGACCGGTAACCGGGCCCAACCGATTGGTAGGGTGGGGCCTGGGTAGGGTTACCGAGGAGTTACCAGCCTTTTCACCTACCGAAGGTTGACCCTACCGATGGGTCACCCTACCGATGGCCAAACCATCGGTTACCGGCCGGACGAAACTCGGTACCGGACCGGACCGTAATGGAATGTAATGGAAAGTGCCTAACCATGCATAGCAGTGCCTTGTCTACACCTGCTGGTTTAGTAAAGCGACCAGACCTGCCTTGCTGAGCTGCTGCGTGCTACTGTGCTGGTTGGTCGGCAAGGGTACCGGTCGGTAAGGTTACCCGTCAGTTACCAGGTCATTATCTTGAAATGTTGGTTACCCTACCGGTTGGGTTACAGCTAACCGGTCGGTTACCAACCCTTTTATGCCATAGGGTGGAGGGAGGAATGTATGAAGGAAGGGATGTATTTCCACATAACATCCATTATCTCCACTGTCTCATTTTTCTGCATCACCCTGGTTTTTCCCATCCATTCGGCCATTCAGCTTCTTTTGGTTGTGCTCGAAAACCACATTACCGGTACTAGTGTACATATAGGTGGTCTTCATAAGTTTTGTGGATAAGGTTTGGTCTGTATGAGCTGTTATTTATATGTAAGGGACTTGGGATCATTCCCTTTATTCCCCAGGGTAAACCCAGGCCTGAACAACATGCAGGTCTGAACATACATCCCCTTTCCGTACATATGCAGTTCCTTCTGTCACACACACACACACACCTTTGCGTTTACAGGTTATTCCTGCCTTGTGGTTTGGTGGCCCGCATGTCGAATTTTTTTCAGGGCAAGTTGCCAAGCCTTGCTTTGTTAATATGGTGTTGGTTCTGGACCCGGTTATGACAGCCACCAACACTGCTGTGCTGTGTTTCTCTCATTTTTTTATAATGTATGGCAGCCTGAAGTTAACAGTTCTTGAAGCTTCCTTGAATCTGAAACGGGGAGCGAGCCATCTCTGTCCCTAACGACAGAGCTTGTTTTTGCAGGCTTGTTTTTGCTCGCTCGTACAAATGCCCAGTACTCCATCGATCAGTTGCTAGCTAGTTTGGCGATGTTAGCAAGGCAATTCATCTTTACTCGCAGTCGTTTTAATTTACAGAATTCAGACAGTTTATCATAAAGATTCAGCGTGTGCAAGGAACACGATTTTTCACCGATTTACAAAAACATGGGAAAGCCTAGTGCTGCACGGCATGAAATACGTTTAATACTATAGTTATTTAGTATCCAAACTTAAAAGTGTTTTTCGCTATGCCTCGCATCCGCAAGCTGCAGTACGGCGGGGTGTCTCCAAGCTGGGCGATTGTTTCACGGTGCTTCTGTCCGGCGTATCAGGTGCGTTAGCCACTCAGAGAAATCCAACAATAAATAGCTTCTGTCCACCTTAGCCCTTCTGGCGTTTCTTACCACCATCACCCCGCACCGCAAGCAGGCGAGTGCCTAGCCGGCGAGATGGGCTGCTGCGGCGACAGCTGTTGCTCCTCGGCGGTCGTCTCCCGAGCTCTTGCTGAGTACTGTCAGCACAGTGACGCAGCCCGTGAGGCCTTTGTCGCAGCTAAGGGTCTCGACGCTTTGCAGGTACGGTGCGGTACATAGCTCCAGGTCACCAACCGCATGATCCTAAAAGAACCCTAGCCCGCCACTCCTGAGCCCAACCTGCCACTCCGCTGCACGCACTCTCAGTGGAACCTACCCACCCACACAACCAGCCAGGCGACCAGAGTATGCCGCGGTCGGGTCAACACAGACACACACAGCAGCCCTGCCTCCCATCCTGGCGACAGGCTAGCTTGCTCTGGCCACCCGTCGCCACACGCTGTATGCTCAGGTGGCTGCTCCTGCAGCCCCCAAGGTCGCCGACAGGTCCAACAGGATGCTGCATATGACTGCAGTGGGCACCAGGACGGCTTTGTTCGTACGAGTGTCAGACCCGACCACCATGGCCACAAGCTTGCCAGTGTCGACCGAGAAGCAGCCGCCACCTGAATCACCAACACCTGCAACAATGTCACCGCAGATGTGGCTGTGCGCATCCGGCTCGGTCGCCGCCACCATGCCGTGGCTGATGGATGTGGCGTCTGCTTGCGCCTGCGTGGACTGGCCGTGGACATAGTACTTGTCGCCAGCCAAGACACCAAAGTCCAGCACCGGGGGCACCAGCTCACGCTGCACCTGAAGGTCAATACCAGTGAAGCAACATCACAGGCGGCTGACTATGTTGCGAATTGTGAGTGCTTTAATGCTCCAGCTTGAGCTTGCATGGACCTTGACTTGTGGGAATCTAGGCAAGGAAAGGGCGTGGGGAGGAAAGGTGCAAGGGTGCTACATGTGCAGAAGTAAGCTCAATTGCCGCTACTGTAGGCTTCACTGACCCGCACACTGGCACACCTTGAGGATGGCAACGTCTAGGATGGGCTTGATGCGCACCACCGTTGAGTCCACCAACACCCTGCAGTCCGCGTCGGGGCAGTGCACGGCAATCTGCGAGCAGAGTGTTGTTGCATGAAGCTTGCATGAAGAATAGAATAGAATAGAATAGAATAGAATAGTAATGATAGCCCACACAACTACAGTTTGAAAGGCGCCGACAGAAGGTGACGCCCAGGTGACGCCCAGCTCTGCAAAAAAAAAATTAGAAATGGACTACATACAACGAGCACGGAACAATCCTGAGGAACTGGCCAACAATGGCCTCATGGTACAGTTGATAGATCAGATAGCCGGGCTGGCGGGAGGCCTGGCAGCCACCAACCAGGAAATCCGCACGATCAAACATGAGCAAGTGGAACTAAAAACGCAAGTAAAGAGCCTGATGAAGAGTGGCCTGGGAGTCTACTACGACGCCTTCGGCCTAGTCCATCAAAACGGGCTCTTTTATTTGGATAGCATGCGGATCTTCACGACTGGGAACGTGGATGAGAGCAGGATCAAGAACGTCCTAAGGGAAGCGGACGTTAATATTAAGCGGATCAGGCTCCTGGGGAGCGATCCGAATAAAGACCGCAAGACCTGGTGCGCGTACTTCGATATAACGGAACGGCCATCATTCTTCAGGGCTGCTGAGGTCCTACGGCACCAGAAGGTGGGCATCGACGACAACTTGACCCAAGCGGGGAGGATCGAGAGAAAGCGCATGGCCCCGCTGCGGCAGGACATCATGCGACAAGGCGCGATCCCAGTCTGGAGGAACGGGGCCGAGCTATATAAAGGAGCGACCAGGCGGAAAGGCGCAGCCGTATGGGACCCGGAATGATACCGACAGCGACCTGGGCAGCGCGGAGTACGGCGCCGACGGAGGCGACAGCGATGGAGAAGGGACTGCAGCTCCGAGCAGGGAGCGGACGGCAGTGAATATGTCGGTGGCAACACAGGAGGCGGAGAAGGAGGGGCCAGCGGCAGCAGGGGCCCCGGAGGTGGCACCTCGGGAGTGGCAGCAGCAGCTACGACCGCAGCAGCCGGGAAGGGGTGTGTGCGGGGCCCCAAGATGGCGGCCGTAGGGTCTGCAGCTCCGGCCGTCGCAGGGGCAACAAACCCAACGGCAGCTATTGCACCAACGACCACCTCGTGGGCGCGTGGTGTGCGGGCACCGCTATCCCCATCCGTGGCCTGCAGGGCAGGGCCGGCAGCGATAGCGCCCTCAGTAGGGGCCAACCCGACCGCCAGAGCCCCTCCTCCTCCACCACCTCCCGAACCAATCCCGTCCGGGCATGAGCTGGCGCTTATTGCGAACAATAAAAGCAAAATACCACCCGAGGCCTCACTTAGCGCTGTAAAGGCGAAACCCTCGAAGCAGCTGCGGACCGAGGGCACCATTGGACTGATGTACACGGCGTCACCAGGCACTCTGGAGCGAGCAAGCTACAGACCACCAGCCGGACGCGACCCACGAGTACCAGGGCCGGACAGCCGGGGCGTCGACGCTGAAGGGTTCCGACTCGTGGCGGGAAGCACGCGAAATGGGCAGGTGGGCCAAGGAGGAAGCGGTAGTGGGGGCAGGGACGACAGGGCACGGGACCAACTGGCGGTTAACAGGACAAACCGCTTCGCAAACCTCCCTAATGCTGACGAAATGGATGACACCTAGGGGCTCGCGAGCCGAGGGCTAAGGATTTTACTATGGAATGTTCATGGGCTACTGGAGGCGGGAGTTTTCAAGCTCAACCAGGCAGGAATTAGGTCGTTCGTCACGAGTCACGATATTGTGGTTATAGCTGAGGCGCATTTGAAGGACACTACTGAGGAGAAAGACATAGCTTTGGAAGGGTTCCGTATTTTCCGGGTGGAGAGGTCAAAGGAAGCCCTGAGGGCCGATTATGGAGGCGTCGCGCTGTATGTACGGGAGTCACTCACGAGGGGTATTACGGTAGTGCGCAAGGACAACCAGCTGCCAGGGTGCGAGGTCATTTGGGCACGCGTTAGCCTTTCCACAGGTAACAGTCTCCTGATGGGAGCCTGCTACCTCGCACCAGAGACGTCCAGGGTCTACCCGGATGGTGGAGGCACCGTATCACAACGCACTGCAGCAGCAGAAGCCGTTTTTACCAGGATCCAACAGTCACTAACGGAACTCAGGCTTGGCGATGAGGACGTGCTGATTGCCGGGGATCTTAACGCACGTCTGTCTGGAGCACAGCATGAGCGGAACCGTGCTACCCCGATGGACTTACCTGCTTACATGAATGACATCCCGGATTTAGAGCAGTTGCAGGCCGTATGCGAGGTCATGGGTTTTGAAGGACTGAGGGACCACCAGAATTATGATGGACTCGGAAATCGAAAGTGCCAGGACCAAGTTTGCAATTTCTTTGGTGCCCAGCTTGGGGCGCTCTGCAGATCCGAGGGACTGCTCGTGATGAACGGCCGGATGAGAGGGGACCCAGAAGGCCGCCTAACTTTCCCTAAGGGGGAGGCAGGCGGTAGTATGATCGATTTATTCATAGCGACTCCACGTGTGCTTCAGCAGTATGCCACCTTTCTGAGGGTAGGAAACCTGATCGAGTTGGATGGATGGGAGCCCACCGACCACCGTCCTTTGACGCTTGCTCTTAATGTTACAGTGGATGACGAAAGCAGGTGTAGGGACGGTAAAGGCCGGAAAGCCCGGGTGGAGTTTGATATTGCACGATACCAGGATTACGCGGAATATTTTGAGGGGGGGTCCCCTACTATGAATGCCTTAAGCCAAGTGGCCGAGGACCTGCAGAGGGGAGTTTGCAACACCACACAAGCTGTCGAACGCATTGGAGGTGCCCTGTACAAAGTCCTGGTGAGGGCCTTCGATACCCACCGACCTACCGGCATGACGGCAGGTGGGAATACGGTTTGGTGGAACCGGGAATGTCAACAAACACGGCAACGCATGTTGGAGAGTAGAGCACATCTGGGTCCAGGCCGGGTGAGTAATAAATCGGGTCCGGAGTGGGAGGCTTTCCGTCATGCGCGGACGGATTATAACCGGGCAAAAAGACACGCAAGGGCGGCTTATGAGGAGGATAGGATGAGAGATTTTGTGGCCAAATGTCGGCATGACCAACGAGCTCTGTGGCGGGCTTTAGGAGGGAAGTTGAGGGAGCGATGTGCGATAGACGATATTGAGGTCTTCAGGGAACACTTTGCTGGGCTCTTAAACGCAGGTGTAGGGGAGACAGGGCCTGATGGTGCGAACCGGCTCTTGAACTTCATTAACTTTGGGCAGTTTCTAGAGGGGCAGGAATGGCGGTCATCCCACTCGGTTTTGGGTAGGACTGCGAAGGCAGCAGAAATCCTAGACCCCCCTCTCACGCTGGAGGAAGTCGCACGTGCTGTTGACAGGCTGCCTAACAGTAAGGCACCAGGTTTGGAAGTAGCGCCGTCGGAATGTTACCGCTATGCGCGTTTGCCCCGAGAGGAAGAAGGCTCCGCGTCGGGTAATGGTGGGGGCAGGCGACGGGGGGAAGTGAATCAGCTTGTTCCGGTACTGCACGTGCTTCTGGAGCATATCAGGGCGACTGGGGACTTCCCACGGCAGTTTACAACTACCGTCCTCACCCCTATTTACAAGAAGGGGGACCCCAGCATGCCGAGTAACTACCGGGGCATAGCAGTAGGGGGCGCTTTGGCGAAATGTTATGCGCTGGTCCTCCTGGATAGGCTCGTTCGCACAGGGGAGACGCTCTCACTTAGGCATCGAGGCCAAGCGGGTTTCAGAAGAGGTTTCGGTACTACACATCATCTCTT